AGAGGTAGACACCACCACCTTCACTTTCAGGTGAGAAACCAAGGCTCAGGAGGTTAAGTTACTGACAAATAGAAATGGCAAGCAGTAGGATATATTGGAGTATGTTAGGAAACCATTTAGTGTAAACCCAATTTGGCCTGACTTTGTTTTTCCAAAAGGGCCTGACTTGACCGTTGAGCATGCATTGTATATCTGCTTTAAGCATTTCCTGTGGTATGGATTATTTGCGTCGACACTACTTACACTATCTAGGCATCTAGACAATGGTTGCGAGTCTGTGCTCTAGTTGTAGTACAGTGGATCACCTCTTGATCAGGTGGCAGGGTCAGCCTGGCTGTGGCATTGTGCCAGGCTGAGCAGAGAAGGTTTTGGAGCTGGACAAAGAGTTGTGGACTTGCAGACTGGCTACTATCAGGATGAATCCGGCTGAAGACGTCTTGTTTGGCAAGTACGGAGTTTCAAAAGTTGGGGGATGAGATGCCTGTAGGTGGCTGTGCCTTCATGTTAGTCTTCCCATTTTGACATCACACACTTACCATGTGCTCCTGGCCACCAATTTAGTCTACAACCCTAAAATTCTATTCTAATCTTTGTTTGAAAGATTAGGAGACCCAAGACCAAGAGGATATTTGAAGCAAATAAGCAAGCAAACAAATAAGCTTGGCCAACCCAGTCTCCTGCCTCTGGCCTCATCATGGCTGACTGTTGGCTTCTGATGCTCACAGCCACTTGACCTTCCAGTGCCCTCCTGGAGGCGTCTCGGTTGCTCTTGTCCCTGGGCTCCCACCACATTATGTATGTCTTGCAGCCCTTATCACCTCATTGTATCACTGTATGTTTGTCATCCTTTATCTGCATTGAATGGTAAACTCCTGAAAATCAGGGATTTCAACTTTGTATCCACAGCACGTCTCACAGTGTCTAGCACATAGTCTGCATGGCACTTTCACTCTGGAGACACTAATTTATATATTACTCTACCAATTCTATACCAAGGTCATGTCGACTGTTGACAAAAATAATCCATAACCACTCTATAAATGAAAATTTGAGTGAGTTTATTCTGAGCCAAAATGTGAAGACCATGGCTTGGGGCCTTCCTTCCCAAAGGAAGAAAGGGCACCAAAGAAGTGGGGTGTACAGAGTGGTTATATACCCTCAAAGAGCATGTTTCACATATCATTGAAATGTCCCTTTTACAATAGTCATGAGACTGCTCTGTCGGCACAGCAATTGATGGATGCGGCAGGTAGTAGGTCTGCCATCTCAGTGGACACGGCAGGGTGGCAGGTCTGCTGTCGCAAGCTGTGTGGTCACATGTGAGCAGAGCAATCAGTTCCTAGCCTATGGAGAGATGCTTATCTTTAAGGAAATGCCAATGTGGGCAAAAGTTGCCCCTATATCTTAAGGGCATTTGTTCTTGCCACAGGAATTGTTCAAAGCGGATATACAATGCCTGCTCAATGGCCATGTCAGGCCCTTTTGGAAAAACAAAGTCAGGCCAAATTGGGTTTACACTAAATGGCTTCCTCATATACTCCAGTATGTCCTATTGCTTGCCATTTCTATTTGTCACAATGCAAATAATCCATAACCAATCTATAAACCAAAATTAGAGTGAGTTTATTATGAGCCAGATCTGAGGACTAGCTTAGTCCTGGGCCTTCCTTCCTTGGGGAAGGAAGGGCACCAAAGAAGTGGGGTGCACAGAGTGGTTATATACTGTCCTGGAACAAAGAGCATCCAGCACACATGATAGGAACGTCCCTTTTACAACAGTCATGTGATTGCCCAGCCAGCACAGCACAACTGTTCACACAGTAGGTAGTAGGTCTGCTTCTTGGTGGACACAGCGGGGTAGCAGGTCTGCTGTCTTGAGCTGGGTGGTCACAGGGTGGGCACAGCAATCAGTTCCTAGCCTAGGGAGAGACGCTTATCCTTAAGGAAATGCCAATGTGGGGGGAAGTTGCATCTTTCTCTTAAGGCCATTTGTTCTTATCTTTGGGACACAGCAAATGCTTAAAGCAGATATACAATGCATGCTCAATGGCCACAGTCAGGCCCTTTTGGAAAAACAAGGTCAGGCCAAATTAGTTTTATACCAAACGGCTTCCTCATATACTCCAATATATCTTATTGCTTGCCATTTGTTTGTCAGTCATAGGGTGTTTTTTGGTTTTTCTTTCTTAACTCAGTATTACTTCTGTATAGAAAGCAAAATTTCACTTCATATGTTGCATAGAGATTCCATTAAATATATTATGATAACTTCCATAGTGGCTGGAACAAGGAGAGAGACAATTCCCTGAGCCTGGCTGAGCCTGGAGGGGACAAAGTCGAGATTGTCCCAAGAGGATCAGGATCACACTCCCTGTTCTGTGCAGCACTTGGGAAGGTCAGGGAGATGTCTGTGTAGTGTACTTCAGGAAGCATGGGGGTCCCTATGCTGGCCATCACCCCAAGCCCCCAGTGAGGCCTGGAGGCACCCAGGACTGCCTGTGAGCAGGGACGGCCCCAGCTTACTGCCAAGAGAGACCCCAACTCTGGGGAGGGGCTGCAATGATGAGTTTAAATGTCCCCAAATCCTTGGATATTATCAGAACTGGATTACTTGAAAGAAAATAAAGAAATCTGATATTTTCCTTAGAGTAGAGAAACTTGTTAGAGGAATTGAACGCCTGTACCATCTTTGGTAAGTAAGCAACTCCTTTCAGGTCTTGTTTCCCCACACTGAGCCTTGCAGCCAGGTGACTCCTCCACCACCCCCGGCTACCCCTCACATCTACAGAGGCGTTCCTCCTGGGCCCCCTGCTGTTTCCCTCCTCCACTGGTGGAGATTCCAGAGGGCAGAGAACACATTCCTCTTTATAAGCACAGAGTGCAATGATTGGAGCAAAGTAGGCTCTCAGAGGTACTTCTGACCTGAACTGCTTTGTGGGCACTGTTGTTACTGTGTGGACTCCTGCTGTTACTCTCTGGGCTCCTGCTGTTACTCTCTGGGCTCCTGCTGGTGCTGTGCAGGGTCCTGCTATTACTGTGTGGGCTCCTGCTGTTACTGTGTGGAAACCTACTGTTGCTGTGGGCTCCTGCTCTTACTCTGTGGATTCCTGTTACTTTTCCTCCTCTTAGTCCAGCTCCTTCACAAGGAGCTATGTGGATGTTGGCAAATTAGGTTACATTTAATTCTCTTCTTATGTCCCCCCATGGTGATAGTGGGGTCTTGGCTTGGCAGTATCTACCAGAATTCCATATGCAGTTATCCTTGACCCAACAATTCCAATTACAGTAATTTACTTGCAAATATACCACCACGAATTAAAAAACATAAAGAAAAAAGCTTCATACATACAGTTATTCATGGGGCTGTAGGGAAGGAAGATATTTCCTCTACCCACTCTGGGTCCTTCTGGCTGGACAACTAATTAAATTCACATGAGATGGAATAACAGGAGAAAATTAAACAAAACTTTATAACATACACACATGGGAGAGACCCAGAAAAACTGAGTAACTTGCCAAAATGGCAGAAGCTCTCACCTTAAATACCATCCTCAGCTCAAGACAAAGGAGGATGTTGGGGGTGGGTGGAGTCAGTTATGGCAGATTACCAGAAAAGCACAGTAAACAAGAGTAAGGTTATTGTGCAGAATTTAAGTCCTTGCCTTCTTACTGATAAGAGTTTCTAGAGATAAGGTCATCCCCCCTTCTTCCTGGTACAGAAAGGGAGACACATTTAAGGAGGGAGATTTCCTTTACAAATGTAAACATCTCTTTACAAAGGGTTAAAGTCTATTTTTCAGAGTTTCTCTCATGTCTGCAGTTTTTAAAAGTAACCAGCCCAAAATAATCCTCATGCCAAAGAAACATGTCTTGGGGTGGCAAATTCCAGTCCCCCACAGGACATTATTTTTAATAGCAAAATATTAGAAAGAACCTAATGCCCATCCATGGAGAATATCTAAATAAACTATGATATATTCACATAATGGAATAATCCACAACTGTGAACGAAGTAAAGAAAAGAAGGCAGGGAGGGAGAAGGAAAGAAAAAAAGGGGGCAATTCTTAAATCCGGGATATGCAAGCAATATTACTAACTTCAGTCCACAATCCCTTTTACATTATTGTAAAAGCATGTAGTCAAAGAACGCTATTGTAATAAGCACATCTGAAATAACTTACAAAAATATTTTTCCAAAATATGAACTTACTATATGCTTCCTGCAATGTGTTCAAAATATAAAAACACGCATTTTATGCCGAAAAATATTAAGATCAAATACTTATATATTGTTCACTATCCACCAGGCACTGTTTTAAATATTTTCCATATGTTAATCATTTAATTCTTATAAATATCCTGGGAGCTAAGTACCACTCTCATCTCCATTTTCCTTGTGGGGAAAAGAGGAACAGAGAGGTTACAGCCTTAGCGAGTCCACACTCGCCATCAGCCACTCCTGGACCAACCCCCGCAGTCGGGTTAGAGCCGGGCTCTCATCACTGGGATCTGAACTCTGCGGACTGATTCAGCGGCCTTGCTCCCCGTCCCTCCCACTAACCCCCACATTCTTTTTTCCTAATTGGGAGAAAACCCCACATGTGGAAGCGGGGCCTCCAGAACACTTCCGACCCTCCAGAAGGCTCTGAACAGTACTCTAAACGGCTTATAACAGAAAGCACTTGAGTCTTAAAGGAAGTAGGGAAGATGAAGCGCACAGGAGGTTGCGGGCAAATCCGAGCCGGTGCTGAAAGTCACGCTGCGTCCCGGGCAGGGTTGGACTGGAAACTGACAGCTGGGTCGGAGCATGCGCGTCTCACCGCAGCCGGGACGCTCAGCAGCATCCAAGCCCCACCTCTTCCGGCGGGAACACAGCGGGTACCCGGGCCCCGACGCATCGCCGCTTCCGGTTTCCCACGCCGCGCTCACCGAGCACGCGCCGGCAGGGGCGAAGCGGCGCCATTGCGCATGCGCGCGCCGCGGCCGCGGTGAGCAGGGTAGCAACACAGCCCCGCGGAGCCCCGCCGGCCAATCAGCGCGGCCGGAGGCGGGACTTCTCCGCGGCTCCCTGGTCAGGGCTGGGCGACTTCCGGCAATAAACCCTGTGTTGGCGGCTTTAGGGGCCCTGAGGCGGCGGAGCTCCAGGTGGGACGGGCGTTCTCGGCCCCAGGTTGGCGCCCCAGGTGGGGACGGGGTCGGGGGCGCCCGCGCTCCAGGTGGGGAGGGGGTCGGGGGCGTCCACACTCCAGGTAGGGACTGAGGTTGTCCGCGCTCCAGGTGTGGACGGGGTGGGGGGCGTCCGCGCTCCAGGTAGGGACTGAGTTGTCCACGCTTCAGGTGGGGACAGGGGTGGGGGCGTCCTCACTCCAGGTAGGGACTGAGGTTGTCCGCGCTGCAGGTGGGGATGGGGTGGGGGCCGTCCGCGCCCCAGGTGTGGACGGGGTCGGGGGAGTCTGCACTGCAAGTAAGGACTGAGGTTGTCCGCGCTCCAGGTAGGGACTGAAGTTGTCTGCGCTCCAGGTGGGGATGGGGTGGGGGGCGTCCGCGCTTTGGGGCGGGTCGGGGAGGGGTATCTGCGCCCCAGGTAGGGACGGGGCGGCGGCGTCCCCGTTCCAGGGGGTGGACGGGATGGGGAGGGGGGGGGCGTCCGCCCTCCAGGGGGGAACTGAGGTTTTCTGCGCTCCAGATGGGCACGAGATGGGGGGGCTCCGCGCCCCGGGGGGGACTGAGGTTGTCCAAGCTCCAGGTGGAGACGAGATGGCGGGGGTCTGCGCCCCAGGTGGGACTGACGTCCACGCCTCAGGTGGGGACAGAGAGGGGGGCGCGTCCGCTATCCAGGGTGGGTACTGAGGTTGTCTGCGCTCCAAATGGGAACGGGGTAAGGAGCGTCCGCGCTCCAGCGGGGGACTGAAGGAGGGGCGTCCGCGCTCCAGGTGGGTACTGAGGTTGTCCACGCTCCAGGTGGGGGCGGAGGGGGCGCTTCCGCGCTCCAGTGGGGGATTGAGGTTGTCCGCGCTCCAAGCGGGAACGGGATGAGGGGCGTCCGCGCTCCAGAGGGGCACTGAGGTTGTCTGCGCTCCAGTTGGGACGGGATGGGGGGCGTCCGTGCTCCACGGGAGGGGACTGAGGTTGTCGGTGCTCCAGGTTGGGACGAGATGGGGGCGGGGTCCGCGCTCCAGACAGAGGCGGTCTGTCTGCAGCACGATGCGGACTCCCGTCGGCCGTTGCCCCCGCAGTGTGGGCCGCCCTCTCTGCCCCTTCCATCTCCCTTCGGCGACAGCCCCTTGTTCCCGTTCTCCGTGGACCCCGGCCTCGGTGACTGCCCTTCCCCTGCAGTCCACTCTCTGCCTCTTCCACGGCTTCACTCCTCTCTCTCTCCTCTGTTCCTTGTCTGCGGCTCTCTCTTCGGTGCCTTCTTGACGTATTTCTCTTGCAGCTGACCCTTGTGAAGTTTGCATCCTTCCTTCGAAGTAAGCTCGGATCCGCCTGTCTTCCAACTGGGTCCCATCGCTCTCCTTGGGCCTTTTCAGACTCTTTTTGAAAACTCAGGAATCCAGAGGATCCTGTTTCCCTGTGAAGCCCTCTTTTCTTGCCACCTCCAAATCCTTACCATCCAGTCCAGATCAGAAAAGACACATTTTCTCTTACTCTTTCATATTCCATTTCTCTTTCTCTTTTTTTCATGTTCTCTAATTCCATGAAGCGTCTGTGATTCTCTCTCACACCTTTACAGTAAATCTCATTTCTGATTCTCAACCCTCAATTTACCATTTCTCGATGTTCTTTCTGGATCAGTTTCCTCCACACTTAATAAGCGTATTCATTGTTTAAGTTATTTGGAAGTCTTGTAAGGAAAAGAAAGCAATAAAAAAGATCAAATGTCTGTCAAATTGAGACCCAGTCATTCTTTCTTATCTCAGGAAATGAAAATTATTTTCTCAAAATTTATGATGAAAAATAAGAAATAAGGGGGAAAGAAACCCCTTTGTCAGTCTTTTTCTCTGAATGTCATACTATTATTTTCATTGCAACTTGCTTCTTGTGTATAGTGTATATAGTGCTAGCTCTTGCTCTGCCCTTACAGTTAACTGCTGTCCATAGTGGTTATTCCATTTCCTTTTCAGCTAACTTAAAAACAAATAGCAAAATACATGTAGCCTTTTACAATTTATTAGAGTTATGTTTCCTGTCGTGTTTTCTTTGTCTTAGTGTTTTTATATTTAAATCAATCATTACTTTAGGTCATATCTGGTGATGTATATAATATAAAGTAAAAAGGTGGGCAAAAAACCCTCACTGTGTTATGGCATCTGTTTTCATAGGATGTTCAGGAATTGCTACTGTAGAAACAGTGATAGAGCAAGGACACTGGAGTGAGTTCTCTGAGTGTAACTCCAAGCTCCACCAAACCTTTTGCCTCAGTTTCTTCATCTATAAAATAGGGAATTAAACCTGTAAAATGGGGATGATGACATTCCTACCTTGTAGGGTAGTGGTAAGGACTAAATGAGGTAATAGAGGTAAATTGTTTAAGATAATGCCTAACCCATACTAAGATCTAATAAACGTGAGCTGTTATTATTATCATTAGTTAACGAAAAGTATGCTTGTTGAAGGAAAGACACTTCTTGGTTAGTCCTGACTCTAATGTCAGAAGTTTCCACTCGCAAATGAACTTGGTGAAGTCCTATTCTGCAGTGCTCCACCCCATGTCCTGTAGTGCTCTGCCCCATGTCCTGTCCATGCTGTGCCCCATGTCCTGTCCTTGCTCCGCTGCATGTCCTGTCGGTGCTCCACCACATGTCCTGCCGTGATCCACCCCCATGTCCTGCCCGTGCTCCCTGATGGCTTTTTGTTATTGTTTGTAGTAACTCTGCTTCCAGAGTCTGTGCTTTAGTTCAAGAACTGTATAAGATTATACTTTAAAATAAAGCTTGATTGTGATTCAAAGAGCGTAACATGACAAATCTATGGAAATATACATCTTCAGCGAAACAAGTCTTTTCCTCTGTGTTGAAAAGAAGAACCTTAGAAATGTACAATTTTTTATTTGCGTTGTCCATTTAGTTGCATTTGACTCCTTCCAACCCATGGAAATACACTTAGCAGCTGAAAAATTCAGACCAACTATATTCGTTTCTCACAGAGTTGTTAAAGTCAAAGTGAATGATCTCTAGAGTTTTGTAGTTGTAAAAGAATTGATTATCTTGCTGGAAACACCAAACTGATTCTTAACTTTACAGTGGAAACTTTGAGTAAGTGGTGTTACACGGATTGTTTGTGAGGCCTGAATATAAGTGTATTACATGGTGAGTGGGCATAGTGTCTAAAGAGATAAGTACAAAGTTTCTGTGTCAAGTTTTGAAATATTTTGTCAGCTGAGATGTCAGAAGTTTCTGTTGCCTAATTAGTTGTACTTTCTGCCTCCATTGTCCCATTCAGTCTGTCCTGCAGGCCTTGGCAAATTATTCTCAAAACAGCACTGCTCATGTCGCTACATTGCTCAAAAACTTAATTATTTAGAGAATAAAGTTCAGACAACTTTGATAGTCAACATTCTCCATGATCTGGCTTCTACCCACCTTTCTTGGCTTCTACCTGCCAATCTTCCCATAGATTTCTATTTCAACCAACCTATACTGCTTATTATTGTCAAATGTGTCACCTGTGTTCCATCTTCCTGTTTTTTCACCCACATTGCTATGGCTGGAATTTTTTCCTTGCTTCTCTGTTCCCTTAAGATCTAACCATGTGTCAAGGCCAAGCTCATGTCCTAGTTCTCTTCAGAGTTTTCCCGGATGGTCTGGTTTTTACTCTGAATTTCCTTTAGTTATCCTCTCTACTCTCGTTCAGCACTCAGATTACAGATTTCACAGATGTGTGTATTTTTGTATGTTTTACATATATTTACTTTATTGTGTTGTGTGTGGGTTTTCCTGTTTTTAGTCCCTCAGCTAGAGGGCACACCTTAGGGAAGGGACACAGCACAATAACACATTTAGTCAGTGCTTAAATGTTTGTTGTAGAAATAATCCTGTACGTGGTCTGCTTAGCAGTATTCTGCACAGTTGCCACTTGACTTTTTTTCTTAAACACAGAACTCTGAGTCCACAGTTTTAATATGGTATTGAAGATACCTTGGCACTTGTCAGAGATGGTTCTAACAGACAGTTTTCTCTTGTACATGTTTTATGCGACAAAATTTGCCATTTAAGCATCATCTGCTACATCATACTACTACCCTTCCTTTGTAGGAGCGTTCTCTGGCCTGTTTCTGAAGCTTCACACATCAGCAAGTCAGACGTGTACTGTCAGAGACCATTTTGGGTAGTTCTGTGGGTTATCTCTTAAGTAGGGGGTTGCTTTTGCGTTTTAGGGGGATCAGTAGTTGTGAGACAAGTCTGCAAGACGAGGCTTATCAAAATAGTGCTGAGATTTAAGGCATGATTTATCAGTATCTTCTAAAGCAAGAATTTAAGTGAATCATTATGTGACTGAAAAAGATGTGTTCTGATTATGTTAGTTTAACAAGATGTGGAGATTCTCTTGGTCCAAATGAAAATGACTTCATATGTTTCAGATATAAACTCAATTCCAGTTCAGGAAGTAAGCACTTGTGGTTGATCCAGGAATGTTGAAGACTTCTAATTTCCTTCTGAACTTTTTTTGTCTCTTCCAACCAGTATAAATGCCTACTTAATAGTATGTTTTTTGTTAGTTGTAGTAAATGTAATTGGGAGATGGTATTTGAACACTTCCATCTCTCATGTACTCTATGATGTAAATATTCCCCATTAGTGGAATACCCAGTCTGTTTTGCACATGAGAGTAATATAACACACTACTCTATTGAAACTTTTTTTTTTTTTTGAGGAAAATTAGCCCTGAGATAATATCTGCCGCCAATCCTCCTCTTTTTGCTGAGGAAGACTGGCCCTGAGCTAATATCCGTGCCTATCTTTCTCTACTTTATACATGGGACCCCTGCCACAGCATGGCTTGCCAAGCGGTGCCATGTCTGCATCCGGGACAACTGGTGAACCCCAGGCCGCTGAAGCAGAATGCACACACTTAACCACTGCGCCACCAGGCAGGCCCCTATTGAAACTATTTTTGATTGAATTATTAGCTACCTTTTTGTAGCTAAATTCAGTGTATACTTTTCACTTCTTAATCACATTGGCTTTGTTATAACATTTTCCTCTCTGTCGATCATTTCTTTCTTAAAATGCGTTCTTCTCCTGATTTGCTACTTTCCCCCATACCTCTCTAGCTGTTCCTTTTCAGTTTCCTTCCTTGGCTCATCTTCATCTGTCTGTCCCTTAAATGTCAGTGCCTCTTAGAGTTTTTTCCTCAGCTCTCTTCTTTTCCCATGTATGTATACTCTGTGATATTCTCATGGCTTTGATTAGTGTCTAGGACTGATGATTTTCCTGTCTCTCTCTCCAGCCTTTCTCTCCTGAGCCATGGATCTATATATACATTCACTCATTCAATGTTTCTTAAGCTTCTCTTGCATGTCTGGCATTGTTCAATGTAATTGGGATAACAGAGTTGAACGAGACATTGCATTTTCTTGGAGGAAAACCGACAATAAGCATACAAATGATCTCAGACAGTGCTTATTACTGTGAAGACGCTATGTAACGGCAGAGAGACTGATGGGAGTGAGTGGAGCAGCCGCAGAGGGAGCTGTTCGGGTCAAGTGGTCAGGCAGGCCTTTCTGGGGCAGTGACGTTTTGGGTCGGCAGTGTGAATATCCAAGGCAGTTCTTAGCCCTCAGTGTGCATGAGATGACTGGTGGACATTTGAAAAAAATGCTTGTACTTAGCTATCACTGCAAATATTCATATTTAATTGGTCTGGGATGGGGCTGAGCACTTGTGCTTTTTAAAAGCTTCCAAGACTGTGGCGTTAATGCACAGCAGGGGTTGAGAACCACTGATCGAGAGGAAGGCGGTTCCAGGCAGTGGAAGAACTGGTATTCAAAGTCTTGCTCTTACCAAGTTGTAAGCTTTGTGGAGGTAATAATGTCTGTTTCATCATTTTTAAGTCATAGTTTTTATACTTGGAATCTAGTATAGTGCCAGTACAACAGATGTAGCAAACCTAGGAGGCATCTCCAAAACTGAAATCAGGATCTCTCCCTTCTGTATTCCTTATGTCAGAGCCAGGTGAGAAAATCAAAATCTGGGTATCTTTGATTCCCCTCACACATCTAGCCTGCCTGGCGTTGTTCGTTGCCCCATGCGCCTTTCCCTAGGATAGCTTGGAACACTGAGTGGATGAGAGAGCAAGAGATGGCACAGGATGGGAGCCCCTTGATTTCTGTTTGACTCTACCTCCTAAGAGTTTCTAGACTCTCTTCTCTCTGTTCCTGTTGCAGCCATACTCTCACCTTTTAAAGGCCAGTATTGAGTAGTCTGCAGTCCTAACTCTTGTTTCCTCCAGCTGCCTCCCCCCTCAATTCATTCTGCACAGTGTAACCCTGAGTTCTGTGAACCTCAAATCTAATGGAATCACTTACCTGCTGAAGTCTGTCTCTTGACTCCTCATTGACCTCAGAGTAAAGTCCACTCCTTTGACTTGATCTCTCCCTTAATTGCTTCTCCATTCTTCTAGCTGCTCCCTGCTCCCTCTCTTATGCAGTCATGCATTAACAGCGGGGATCCTGTCTGAGAAATGCATCGTTAGGCAGTTTTGTTGTGTGAACGTCATAGAGTGTGCTTACACGAACCTAGATGGTACAGCTTACTACACGCCTAGGTTATGTGGGGCCACCATCAAATATGCAGTCCATGATTGACTGAAACGTTTTTATGCAGCACGGCTGTACTGTACGCTTCAGCCAGAGTGAACTACATACAGTGTCTGAACATGAAGATGTTCACTTTATGTTGCTTCTGATCTCTGGCAAAGAGACTTTTCTGTCTGGTACAGTGCTCCCTATTCTTCCTCACTCCCTGACTCCTGCTTGTTCTTCAGGTGTGAGCTGACATGTCACCTCTGGTACACCTTTCATGACATGGGCAATTTGGGGCTGATAAATCCACCAATACTTATCCTGTTTTATCACTTTAGTACAACTGAGGTACTGTGTTTTCTTCACCATTTTACCACCAATGTCTAGGCAGCATTTAAGGCATATGCAGAAATTTAAATGTTAAGTAAGAACTTTATTCACTAAAATTAATGAATAGATGTTCTAAATGAAAAGAAACTTTAGTTAGTTACACATATGTTTTCAACATAAATTAAATTTTTTATAGGAGAACTATGCCGTTTTTGGGTCAGGACTGGAGGTCTCCTGGATGGAGTTGGATTAAAACAGAAGATGGCTGGAGAAGATACGAATCTTGGAGTCAGGAACTTGAGAGAGAGCATGACCACTGTAGCATCAATCACAGCATGTAAGTTACAGCCCAGCAGAGCCATGTCGTTTGCTGCGTACTGTCTATAGCTTCAAATATTTTTCAAGCCACTGCAAAGCTGTGTAGCTTGTCACTTGGCTGAGAAATGCCTGCACACAAGGCTGGTGTGAAGAAACAAGTTATTTAGCTGCAGACTGAGCCTAGTACTTACAAGGTGCTGCTTGCTTCTTTTTATTGAAAACATTTAATACTTACTATATGAGAGAGAGGTGGTGTTGTCATTAACCCCACATTACAGCTGAGGAACTTGAGGCAGCAGAGATAGAGTTTTGGCAGCGCATGTCAGAGACCCAGGTAGTAGTAGCTTCCACAGGCAGAAATATATTTTCTCTCTTGAAAGCCTGAGTTGGTGTAGCGACTTTGCTGAGGGTGGAAAGATGTTTTGTCTTGTTGCTGTGCTGTCCCAAGAGGTAGCCTCGTCCTCATGGCCCAAGGAGCAGTGCTGCCCATGATATGCGCATCCTGGCCAGTGGGCGGAAGAGGAGGAGCGTGCGTGTCATATCTGCTCACACCTCATGGGCGAGAGCGTGGCTGAGGGGATGCTGCGAGGGGGTGGGGGTCATCCTCATGTGTAGCCATGTGTCCAGATCAGAGTCAGAGGTGGGTGAACACACTGGGGGTGGAGGGCCATGGAGTGGTACCTGGCATCTCCATCAGATCAAAATCAGAGGTAGGTGAACACATAGTGGAGTGGAAGGCTGTGGAGTGGTACCCGGCACCTCCATCAGATCAGAGTCAGAGGTGATGTGAACACACAGCGAGGTGGAGGGCCGTGGAGTGGTACCCGGCGTCTCCATCACCAGTGGTATGTGAGCATTTGGAGAGTTAGAAAGGTCTGGGGCTTCTTCCCCCAAGCTGTCATGGGTCTAGTCATTAAATTTACTGTGTATTTTCATTTGACACTTCCATAATTACCAGTTGTGTGTATTGAACTTACAGGTTATCTGTTTTTCTGACAGAAATTTAGCAGCTTTAGACTAGAGACTGATTTTTGCAGTATTCAAAGCAGAAATTTTTTTTTAATTTTTATTGAATTAATGATAGGTTACAATCTTGTGAAATTTCAGTTGTACATTATTGTTTGTCAGTCATGTTGTAAGTGCACCCCTTCACCCTTTGTGCCCACCCCCCACCCCACCTTTTCCCCTGTAGCCACTAATCTGTTCTCTTTGTCTGCATTTTTAAATTCCTCACATGAGTGGAGTCATACAGAGATTGTCCTTCTCTATCTGGCCTATTTCACTTAACATAATTCCCTCAAGGTCCATCTGTGTTGTTGCAAATGGGACGATTTTGTTCTTTTTTATGGCTGAGTAGTATTCCATTGTATATATATATACCACATCTTCTTTATCCAATCATCAGTTGATGGGCACTTAGGTGGCTTCCACGTCTTGGCTATTGTAAACAGTGCTGCAATAAACATTGGGGTGCATGGGACTTTTGGAATTGCTGATTTCAAGCTCTTTAGATAGATAGATACCCAGTAGTGGGATGGCTGGATTGTATGGTAGTTCTATTTTTAATTTTGTGAGGAATCTCCATACTGTTTTCCATAGTGGCTGCACCAGTTTGCATTCCCACCAACAGTGTATGAGGGTTCCTTTTTTTCCACAACCTCTCCAACATTTGTTACTATTTGTTTTGGTTATTTTTGTCATTATAATAGGGGTAAGGTGATATCTTAGTGTAGTTTTGATTTGCGTTTCTCTGATGATCAGTGATGATGATCATCTTTTCATGTGCCTATTGGCTATCCGTATATCTTCTTTGGAGAAATGTCTGTTCATGTCTTCTGCCCATTTTTGATCGAGTTGTTTGATTTTTTGTTGTTGAGTTATGTGAGTTCTTTGTATATTATGGATATTAACCCTTTGTCAGATGTATGACTTGCACATATTTTTTCCCAGTTAGTGGGTTGTTTTTTTTGTTTCAATCCTGTCTTCCTTTGCCTTGGAGAAGCTCTTTAGTCTGATGAAGTCCCATTTGTTTATTCTTTCTATTGTTTCCCTTGTCTGAGAAGACATGGTGTCTGAAAAGGTCCTTTTAATACTGATGTCAAAGAGTGTACTGCCTACATTTTCTTCTAGAAGCCTTATGGTCTCAGGTCTTACCTTTAGATCTTTGATCCATTTTGAGTTTATTTTGGTGAATGGTGAAAAAGAATTATCAATTTTCATTCTTTTACATGTGGCGTTCCAGTTTTCCCAGCACCACTTGTTGAAAAGACTTTCATTTCTCCGTTGTATGCTCTCAGCTCCTTTGTCAAAGATTAGCTGTCCGTAGATATGTGGTTTTATTTCTGGGCTTTCAATTCTGTTCCATTGATCTGTGCACCTGTTTTTGTACCAGTACCATGCTGTTTTGATTACTGTAGCTTTGTAGTATGTTTTGAAGTAAGGGATTGTGATGCCTCCAGCTTTGTTCTTTTTTCTCAGGATTGCTTTAGCAATTCGGGATCTCAAAGCAGAAATTTATTTTGCATTTCAGATTAAAGTAAAGATAATGCATAATATTTGTTGAACTTATATTGTGGCATTTTTGCCATTCTGAATTTTATTTTCTCTTAATAAAATATATACAAGGTAGGTGATTACATATGCTGTTAGTATTCGATAATTAGTGTTGCACAGTTATGAATATTCAAGGTTGTCTTTTGTCTCGTGATTTTTATAGCAAATTATTTAAATTTACTGTTGGTTGAATATATATGGAAATATTAGATGTTTACTTGTACTCCCAGTGTCCTGTTAAATGGAGAGAGTCCTGGAAGTCACCCTTTAGGATGGGTAAACAGGTTACAGGATGTTGGTTTAAAAAAACTGTCATTCTTGAAATACCATGTTACTGCTGCTCTGCACTAAGGAAGTTGCCTGAGTTTCTCCTTTTCTTTGAGTATTCTTTTCCTTCTCAGCCCAAACATGTGTAAGTGCCTGAGGGTTCATTTCTCTGCACACACACAGAACTAGGGAACGCAGCCAGGATGTGAACCCCATGTTCTCTCTTTCCTTCCCCTCCTACAGACACTCCCACTCACCCCTCCCATTCACACTTTGGAAAAGTCCTTGGAAGTAGTAAGGGTTGCTCACAGAAGCTTCTCTGTGTCAGCTGAAGAGGTCCAGTGTCCCTCCTGAGACAGACGGCTGCATCTCAGCCCCCGTTAGCTGTCCACTGCTGGAGACGTGCAGGGAGAATTCGCAAGCCCTCCCTCCTTCACCCCATCCAGATGCCTCTCAAGTCCAGGCCCTCCCTCTCCCACTCTGCCTCCTTCCTTTCTCCTCCTCTTTCCCATTCCCACCAAAACGCATATCTAGACCTGTGGGAGAGGCTGTGGATGACCCAGAGCCGCAGGAAACCTCTGATATTTCTTTCTTTCCCTGGAAGAAAAAGCAGTTTAACTTTGAGCCTAAGATTTGATAAAGAAGATAAAACTGTATGTAACCATCATTTTAAGTCACGGTATAAAATTACCTTATCTTCCTCCAAATGTCTTTGAGAGACAGAGCACTCGTAATTCTTTGATTTGTAATTGGCTTTCTAAAATTAGTAAGAATATTGCACTAAAAATCATTTAGGCAATCAAGATTCTAACTGACTTTGTTAATTTTCTTTTTTGTAAATGGACATGAAAATAGAAGACCTTTAAATATCTCCCTGCTTACTTTTCACCTCATTTTTGAATTAAATGTTCAGAGGAAATAGGTAAGAAATTATGCAGTTCAACGTGGTCAATTCGGGGGCAGCCAGCCAGTTCTTACTGTGAATCCTGATTAATCTGCTCTTTTAAGCAACATTCATGATATTGTGGAAGTTGATGATGGAGCAGAATTAATTCCTATTTTGAATACTTAGTTCTTCTTTTAAAAGATGTCTAGAACTTACAAAATATTTTACTGCAGAGCACAGTTTGATACAGAGGATTCACTTTCACCCCTTCTGGGGAAATTTACTTATTAAACTGTAGATGCAAAAAAGAAGGTAGATTGGCTGGGCCACAGATTGATGGGAGGACAGCCAGTTGAGGATTCTGGTAGACCAGCAGACCAGGTGAAGAATGGTGAGAGCTTACCCACGGCAGTGTCTGTGCAGTTGGATGGGGTCAGAGGGCAGAATCAGCAAGAGAGCCAGTGACAGGCCAGACAGGGGAAGAGGGGAGCCCCAGAACGAGCCTCAGGTTTGGGCTTGGGAGATGGTCCTGAGTAGTAGTGGCTTGACCTTTGTACAGTTTGTGTTGTTGCCATGAATTGTATGATTTTCGTGAAGGAAAGGCATTGAAGAAGAGTGTTGAGGTACTATATATCTTTAAGAATTTGCAGCATTTCCCATCAGGTTTCACTGTTAGTAACCATAGGCTTAGTGGAGGATGTACAAAGTTGTTCCTTGTCTTTTGTGAAGCTGAAATTTGATAAAGGCGTAGATGGTCAAATATATCGTGTTTAGCTCTGCCTTAACAGTGACGTTCCTAGGGGTTTCTCCCTTTGCATTTAATTTGTTAAATCTTTTCATCACATTATTTTTATTTACAGCTCATTAAATGTTTTGTTTCCTATCCAGATTTGAATATCTTAAGGTTTGTTTTGGTTATTTGGATCTCAGTGGGCATGGCAATGGAGATCATTGTAAATTTGGGGCTCCGTAAAAGTTATCTTCAACTCTAGTAGTTCCTAAGATATCCCAAGATAGTTGAATTCTATAAAAAGCACTTTTAAATTGTGGCTTCCACAGGAAAAAGAAAAGCTGCATTTTTGATTCCCATATGAGAATGCAAAAATGGTCTCTGATCACCATGACAGACAGAGAATTCAAGGGTCCTCTGGCCCTGCAGTGAGAACTGTGCTCCCTGGGTCATAGTACCTAGATGGGGAGACTTTCTTGTACCCATTTATTTAGTTAAATAAATACCCCATTGTTGTTTTGGTGTTTTTCCCCTTAGGATCTTTAGAGTATTGTTACAAGTTTCAGGAAAAACCCAGATGACC